CTGCTTCAGTCGCATTACCGGGGACGGCTCCCTCAGCAATCCGCCATTGAAAATGAGTTCAAAGTTTTTTGGATGGTGCATTATACGTCTTGTGTAATTTTAATTTGGTCGACAAAAATTTGATTAGCCTCCTTGAGTGGTTTACCAGTGAATACCAGTAGACTCTACTCTTATCGTGAAGGAGATCCTGAAAAGCATAAAACAAGGAACATCAATCAACATAGCTAATTGTTTTATGAGGGATTGTGAGTGATCATGATATTGTTCATTTTGTTATACAATTTATCTAGCAGTAAATCTAATATCCTGGATTGATCTTCAGAAATCGGGCGAGAACTAGTTTGCTATCGTAAATTATGCTCGTCCACTCAATAGGCCTCGTTTGGTTGCGCGCGCGAACCTTTTCTAATTTAATATTAATATGCAACAACCAATCACCCATCGACAAACCATCATAATCCGCACCCAAGCTTGTGAATTAACGGATGACATTATAACTTTGGCAATTTCGTATGTTAGCGAAGTTGGAATTGCAAAAAGACGAGCGCATACGAATGCAGCTTCAGGTAGTGTTAAATACATAGATTTGAATAGACGTCAAAACACTCGCTTATTATATGGATGGGCTATGTATGATATTTGAACGACCATCACATCGTAATTTCCGCGTGAATTTGTCTCGCTTATTTGTCTTTTGCTAATTCTCGGTTTAATAGTACGTGCGTTGGTCCTGGTCACATGTATAACCGAAAAAGAGGAAATTAATGATCGTTCTAAAATGACGGGACTCGTTCTCCTTGCCTTCAGCTAATATGTAATCGATTTTTTTGCTTCGTTGTCACCCGAATGCTTAAAGCAATGCATCAAGACACTCGATCTATTTGGGCAACAGATGGGTGATTTGAGTATAAGCCTTACAACCGTTACTTTGCTATGGAACGTATCGACTTTATTAAGACGGAAACAGAATAGAAAGGATTCAGGTGAATTACGAGCGAATGATGATATAACCACTCGATCCGCGACATTGAACAAATTATTGAAAGGAACCTTAACCCAATGAATGCATTATGGATGTGTTTGCGACTAGCTAGTATTTGCTCAGATGTTATTTCCGCACGGTTGATATGAACGGAGCATTCATTAGCATTTATAGTTGGCACATGTGTATGGCAAGTTTTATTCCGCCGCTGTTGGATGCCGTTAAACTTGCATCATTACAGGCCGTCAAGGCTATATGTATCAATATCATGGAAAGTAGTGGCGCTGGGGATATGGGTGGAGTATGATTCATCATCGCATAATACCATCGATAAGCGGTGAATGAAACCTAGGATTTGGTTCTTCCTAGAGTGTCAGAAATTTACTTCAATCGGGTATGTGTGTGGGATCTGCTTTTTATTGCATCTTCAAGATTCTTGTTTGTATTCTAGTCATGAGGTAGTTATCGCGCTATCAAGACAATCATGGCGAAGAAAATCTTGCCTTATTGCAGACTGCGCAGAAAGAATTGGTTTGCATATAGCATGTCGGGAGCACCCATTATCGGATAGTGTTGAAATTAATAATGAAGCTTTACCTCCAATGAACCGAGCTCGAATGGTAACTACACATTATTCAGGAACGATTAGCATCAAACTCATTACCGGTTCGACATTACTTTGTAATACGTAACTAGCTTGGCGGTATGGTGATGCGGGGACGTGAGAAGCATGATCGACGAGAGCTGTTGTAGGATTAGGATAGCGTTTACGACGAGTAGTGGGTTGGAAAGGAAGGGAAGATATAAAGCATTATGCATTGATTAAGGAGTTGTGGATTTCTGTCGAACATATGTAATTACTGGCGCTACTAGCTCGGTTGATAAGTTAGGAATAGAAGGGAGTGGATTGGAAGGCGAAGAACAAGCTCCAGACAAGGCTGTGAAAGGACGGTTTTGTGTAGTATAGAATTTGAACTCGACCAGTGAATAATAAGACAATGCACTATGCATTACGAAACGTTAGAATGAGGTTATGAGCCAAAGGAACTTTAAGAATAGTTGATTTCGTTGGTCTGACATAGGACTGCATCAGAAGTGTAGGAATTATGGTAATGAGAACTTTATGTATTAAGATTGAGACATTCGTCCTCACACTTGGTGCACTATCATACTCGCCGAGCCACAACACCAGCAAATTGGGGAATCCTTATCAACATCCTCCTTCAGGTGCTTTCTATGATTACGTGTTAATTGGAAAAGCCGACAAGAGGGACCGGGGAGGAACTCGTGCCTAAGATATAATGAGCTCTGGTCGGCGATAAGAAGATTGTGAAGATTGCGACAAAGAAGATAATGTGGCCTTTCAATTTTTCCGCCTGGGCCGGTTATGAATCGGCGGTTGATGGTATTTCTTCACCGTAATAATCGAATCACTTATATTTGTACGACTAGCACTCGCGTTTATCAAGACTTTATTTCAGATTATTCCCGTCATCAAGTAACAAAGGAATAAAATTTATACCAACAATTTTATCAATTACATGCATAATTCTTCTATATTTGTCATTAGCTCTAACCATCAAACAACATCAAACTCTCACTGATTCGACTAAATTGACTAGAAAAATTCTCGGAATTTTGTTCTTCTAGATGACAAAGCACAGAAACATCGAAACACCCATATACAGTATGATTGTGCAGACCCGTGGCAGACTCCTGCCAGTCTCACTTTTCGCGAAATAATTCCTGATCATTATCTACACCTGGCTTTGTCCCCCACGCCTGCTGCAAGCAAAGCTAGTAAACATTGGCAAATTGTCTATTTCCAATATCCTTCCTATTCATCAATACATACTTTTTTTAGGTCTAATCATCGTCTCAGTTTCAAAACTGTTTGCCCGACTTTTTTCCGCATGAGTATTGCCGGTGCAGTACCATACTGCCGGCTAGTTTATTCAGACCAAATCTCTTTTCTATATATCCATACATCCTCTTCCTTAGACCTCGCTCCTCCAATCTGTCCGTTCGACATAACTCAAAGTTCCCATGTGAAATAATAAAACCAATCTTTCTCCGACTTTTTAAATCCACGTTCTTGATTTGATAGTCAAACTTGCAGCCTTCGGACAGTCAATCCAATCCGAGTATTATACAATGCTATTCGCGTGTCAAAGCATCCAGCATTTTGTGAAATCGTTTACTGCATTATAATATTCCCATCTCTTTAATCTCTTATAATCGACTTAACATGAAAGCCGTAATGGTGAAGAAAGGAATGGAGAAAGCTCGATCGACATAAAAAACGGACATTCATACGAATGAATAATATTCATCTTCTGGTCGTATTGTTCCCGTGGTTGCGCACTGATTCGTAATAGTGCCTCTTGAGCAGAAACGCCATGGGTACTTTGCTTCTTCGTGCGGGATAAGTGGGGGTGCTTGGACCGTTCGAAAATTTTTTATATGCAAATTTTGATTCCTGATAACTGAACAAAGAATTCGTCTTTGTATTGTATTGAGTATTTGATTTATGAATTCAATTTGCCCTGTATGAAATATAAAGCCATTCAATCATTTTTTAATTGGTTAATAATTAAGTTTATTATTATTATTATGATTGCTTTGCTAATTAGAAATATTAGCACAAGAATGGCAGGACGTGTGACATATTGCTATTCTATCTTTTAGCTACTGAGTAATTAATAGACTTTGTAAAATAAACTTGGAACTTTTGTCAACGTTTTCGGAATGGCTTACAGTATAATGCTCGCAAGGAAGAAGCGAGACTTACTGGAAAAAAAAAAGAATATCTGGTTAAGGCTAAGTTTGAGAGAAACTATTTATCACAAAAATACGAAATTAGCAGAGCAACAAAGAAAATTAGTAGACGAGAATCATCTTGTGACGGAAGGTAAAGCCGATTATTGTAGCGTTAACGCTACCGCTCATTACAGTTATGATTGAGCACAAAATGTTCAGGTACCTCATTCTGATCAACAGGTAAGTAAGATCTATCTCAGTCCGCAGTACGCGAACAAATTAATTACATTGAGCATGGTTTTTAATGGAATAAAGAAACTGAATAAAGGTGAAAAGCATTTAAAAATTACCTGCGATAATGCAGGTGGCTTTAACAGTGTGTTTTAGCTCATTTAAATATCCTGGGCACTTTTCTTAATAAAATTAAAGGTCAAATAATTGGCCGTGGGAAAACGTGACTTTATTGCCATATGATTCACTTGATTAACAAGAAGATATGAATACGCGAAGATCCACCTTTGCACACTATATATACAACCGAATAACCTTGCCAATTGCCCAGACTAATGAAGAAATTCATAGTAGCTTTGCGGCAATCAAGCAATATCTATTTATGTTTGCCATACAGGTTGCCAAAGAACACGACTATTTATCGTTATTTCTCGAAAACGACATACAATGCCCGCAAACTACGACAAGAAGAATCCGAGCTCTATTTAAGACTCACAAAGTCTTTTCGTGAGAAACTCGCCTCAAAGCCTCAGAAGCCAGAAGATTTATATTCAAATATGATAGATTTCTCGGTACTCGGGCTATTAACAAGAGAACATGCGACGCTTCACAATACTATTTTGCGAAAAGTACGAGATTTAAAGGAATCTGCTGGAATTGAAGAATGGAGAGCCTTCTACGAGGAGGCGAGAGATAATGGCTTGGATTCAATAATTTTATATAACAACATACTAAAGGGAATTATTAAGAATAAAGACTATAAAGTTGCAGAGGACATTTACAAGGATATGAGACAACATGGAATCTTGCCTAATTGTCGAACATTAACACTTTTACTAAAAATTAACACCAATAGCGACAAAGGAAGAGAATACTATGAAGAGATAGAAAGGCTGGGCTTAAAGCCCATAGGTTTGAACGATATTAACGTAATTCTTGAACATCTCATCGCTCAAAATCGTGCCAACGACGTAGAACGCGTTTGGAAATCTTTAACAAGCGGCAATACTGTTGAATCATTGGGTATCGATATCTCACCAGACAAGTATTCATATCTCCTCTATTTAAGGTATTCACTGAGAATCAAGGACGTTAATAAAGCTATCGATATTGTTAAGAAGTTGGTTGATAAGCAATACAAGATACCATTAAACTTCTTCATGCAACTGGCCTCGTTCTTTGGTTTAAACGGTCACCCTGAAGAAATTCGACAAGCTATCAAGTTAGTGAAAAGGGAGGATATCTCCGAGTTAAAAAGCCTGTTTCCGCGTATTTGCAATTTAATGATCATAGGTCATATGAAGAATCAGAATTGGAACGGCGTTTGGGATGTAGCAAAGATAAGGAAGCTTTTGGAGCATCATACCGAACAGATGGAAGATAATTATGCTGCAATGGATGCACATAGAAACGTTGAATTGAACAATGTAAGCCAAAAAGTGGAAGAGATGGTTAGATATTTATGGGACGAAACAGATGTGGAAAAGCAAACGCTGGAAAGCGAGCAAGAGTATGCGGAGGAGAAACTGAGTGAGATTGGAATCGTGCCCAAGGTTACTTAGACTTTGCGACGGTGATTACGTCATGATAATTGTAATATTTAAGTTAAAGTATACTGTATATCACATCCGGATGGATTGAATCGATCAAAAATAGTCAACTATAATCAATCAATTGGCGTAGCTATGTTACATAACTAAGGCT